GCAGATCACGATCATTGTCTTTGAGAAGAAAAAACCATTCCGTGATTTTTTCACTAGTCTGCAGGTGTAAAAAGAAGAGGTTCTGTAACAAATGTGAGTCTCACGAGAAGAGGTACAACTAAAGGTTTAGGGGGAGGTTCCTCACCTGCTGTTGGGCACTAGTTGCCCAGGCGGCCCTCCACCGCACGTGATTACCCCTATATAGTTAGCTAGCGATCGCACAATGAGAAGATCAACCATCTACCTGATTCAGACACTTCAGGCGGATATACTATATTCCGAACATAGTCACATGACTATTCCACTTTGGCCCAAAACGCGTCTGCCATCCATTTCTCGCGACTTCTCACGTGTTTTTCCGCTTTTTGGCGTCGTCTCCATCTCAACGTCAATGTCCAACGATGGCAAGACGATGATGGTCTTCACCGACCAAACATCTTAACCATGCCTGTGCGTTCCACTACTTCGGGTGTCTCATGAGCGTGACTGCGTTTTCCTTTTCTTTCGTTTCTTTCTTTTTAGCATTCCCTTATAGGACGGTGTATTCTGAATTTCAATTACATTTTTTCCAATTTCCCTTTCCTATGGTGCCGTGGTCGAGCTACGATATTTTCCTTCCCGCGTTCTGTCTCCATACATAAAGGTATAACCTTTACTCCAAATATGGTGGAAGTCTTGAGCTTCAGTGCCCTTCCTGCACGTCCGCCTACTCCTCCGCGATCATCCTCACTCAAATCGGTTGTGTTGAAGTCCGATATTCAGCAGCTGCCCAGCCATCAAGCTCCCCTGTCCACCCCGAGCGACGGCTTTTCTTCACCTCCGAATTTGTCACCGTTTCCTCAATCCAGTGGCCTGTCTAAAAGAGTCAATTTCTCCCCTCTGACAAGCTATATCAAACCGCCATCCTTCTCAAGCTCGAATGCCCACAAGTCTAGAACACCCCTCCGGGCTCTGCCACCTTCGAACCAATGCAAGCCATCCAAATCGATACTCAAGTCTTCTTACTCGTCGCCCGCCTCAACCCCCCCTGCCGAGCAGTCCTTTAACTCATCGGACCACTTTCCTGCCATGTTAGAGTCCATCTGCAAGCAGCTGCGGGCGGCACCCGCACCTCTAGGGCTGACGCTACCAGCATCTGCTAGGTACTTTGGCTGCGTACAGCAATATCCCAGATGAGGGAGCCCTAGTGGATCAGGTTGAAACATTTTCGCAGTACATCCGAAGGGATATTTGCGAAGTATCCGAGATTTATCAACCACTCGATATCAAACTCGTACGCCAAGCATTGAAGTTGTTGGCCATGTTTATCTATGAACCGAAGTTCTCCTCCCGACTCCCCGACGATCTCAAAGTTTTCGTGATCGATCACGCAATCGCCTCTCTTCAAAACCCGAATGTACCGAAAACGGTTGCAATTGAGTATATGCGTGTATTATCCATGCAAAAATGTTCGCCAAAAGTTATGACAAGCAATCGAGTGACGCTCTTGTTGTCTGTACTCAAGGACATAACGAACCGTGTTGAAGGCAAGGCCGTACTTGCCCATCGTCTAGCAATTTACAGAGAACTCCTACTCCTACCGCAGTCAACAATGGCGTCTCAAGCTGACTTGTGGATGGATCATCTTATAACGGCACTCCTTCATAAGTTAAAAGATATACGAACAAGAGCGATCAAATTTGGTAAGTTGGCTGCAATGGCAATGGGTCCAAATACCACTGTCTCCGTCGCATTACGGGAAGTACTTGACGTTACTCTAGAAAATGGCTCGCCTTTTGTTGCACAGCTTTGCGACAGATTATCTGCTATGATATCAAGTCCCGACAGTGGATCACAAGTGCCACAAATTTGGAGTGTTATAATTCTCTTGCTTCGAACAAAGCGATGGTCCATTGACAACTGGCCCCATTTAAAGGACTGGCTTTTAGTTATTCAAAGGTGTTTTAATTGCAGTGACATAATGACGAAATCCCAAGCTCTCATGGCTTGGGATTTGTTTGTTTATGCTTTGTCGCCGAATGAGTCCACCAGCACGGATATTACAAAAATATTATTCCGACCAATCCTTTCGCAACTTGAAAGGAAAAAATCTGACAAACAGGGTATTCTAGTCAACCAGGCTTTTACGAGTTACCATAGACTCCTCTATTATGCTTTTCGGCCCTCGACCTCTCATAGTCGTTTGGCCTTCTTCTGGACAATTTACATTGGGAATCCGTTTTCAGGAAACCTGAATTCCGACCCAACTAATAATGAACGGTTATGTCGGATATTGTCTTATCTACTCTGGAATCAGCAACCAAAGATTTGGGAAGAAGATAAAATCGGGATTATCAAGGAGACAACTCTTGAGCCCGAGGATCTCCCAAGACTGGACTGTAGATGGATTCGATCTCGGCTCCCAATTATTCTTCCAGTCTTCAAATCTCTCTTCAGGTCTTCAGCTTGGAATGGCGATGATATAGATAAGTCAGGTATCGGACTCTCATGGACAAATCTTTCAAGGGCCTTGAGCGATGCTAGCAGTAATGAGATCACGCCCTCATCGGAATCGATGCAAGCAATAGCCAGTATTCTTGGGACTTTGCAACGCGTCTGGAGGACAGCACCTCTATCTTTAAATGCGAACGGGGATACTCGAAATGATACATTCTATAAACGTTTCCAATTCCTTTTGACAACCGTGGTCTCGTCTACTGGGCCAACCATATTTACCGACAAGTTATTTGCACAAATATCTCAAGACAGGTTTCAAACTGCTACTACTCCTGCACACAATCGACAATCGGTAGATAACAATGTCAAATCTCCTCTACTTCACTTACTTCACTTGATTACGTTTTCGCCATTACCATCATCGACAATCAGCCCCGCTTATTTTCAACTGCTACATGTTATAATCGAAATGGGTGTTCAAGGAAAAACATCGAGATATGCTAAGCTTGAAGTACTTCGTCAATTCACAGATCTATTGTTAGAGCAATCAGGAAATGTTTCGAATGTCAATTTGGAATGTTTGTCCAACTGCCACCATGTATGGCAATCTATAGCAAAGCTGGCTAAAGGATACCTCCTGGCTTTTCCCATGAGGACTGAAATCATGAAACGTGATGGTTCGGCGCCAAATGATTACGAAAACGTAATTGCTATTCTTGTTGCGGGATCCCGTTTTGAGTCATCATTTTCGGAGTGGTCCATACTCCTTGATTCGTTCAGCTCTGTTGTTCGAGCCGAAAAGGGTGAAGCTGTTTTGACTGGTATACTTGAGACACTGTCAGAGACCATCAGTTCCCAACCTCTAGCGGCTGTTGCTGGTAATTGCGCAGCTCTCCTAGACTTACTCAAATTCACTTCCGTCCAAGAGCAGCCTCCATCCCCGACGCATCCCTCAATTAACAAATCGCCATTTGCGTATCGCCAAATTCAACACCATTCTGGCAACAAGTTAATTGAACTGACTGGCAAGGTGCTGAAAGAGATTTATGTGGAGTTAGCCGGGGCTGATCATAGTCGCATCGTTAGATTTTTAGCCTCTACGACTAAACTTATTGATCGATGTCCATCGTCGTTCGGCCCAATATTGCTTAGCGAGTTACAGGATTCTTTAGGTCTATGGATAACTGACCGTGATGGTGTGCTTACTAGTCGACCAGATGTGGGCAATAACATCAGTGCTTCAGTATGTTTTGAAAATTCATTCCTTTCACTTGAACGCTATTCTAACGAGAATAGGCACGAGAACTGATACTCTCGACCACTAAACTTCTCCAAAAATCTGCTGAGTCGCAAGACATACTATTACAGAAGTTATCAACGCTTGTCACATCTGGATTGGAATCACGGCATAAATTTACTGCGAACCAATTTATCAAGTTATGGAATAATTTCCTTTGGTTCAAGAACAACGTTAGAGTATCCTGAAAATGTGGAAAAAGCTCTGAGAAGGTTGAAACCATTTGTGCATCTCTCGCTGCCGAACTTTCCCCAAGAGGAAGACTCCAGGGTGTGTAAATTGTTGTTGCCTTGGGAAATAAATAATTTCTAACATTATTTTAGATTGATCTTTCCTCTCCTGACTTCCTGAGCTCTCAAGAAGACATGGTCGAATCCGAAACCCCAATTAAGCTTCTCGACAGCACAAGCAAGATTTACAAAGCCTTTTCTCCTTCTCCTGCACAAAGCACAATACCTTCCAGCACAAACAAAGCTTGCCGTCGCAAAAGGAGCACTCCATCGACGTCCAAGCTGTCAACACCCAAGCCACGACTTCGCCATGATGATTCACAGATTCGATTTGTCCCTGTTGACTCCTCCCCCACACCTGCTGCCGTTGGTGATGCTCAGGTGCTGACTGACCATCAAAGAGAAGTCAGAGATAGGCAGCGAGGGGAGACTGCGAGGCAGTATCCAGGTCTTCGTTCCTCTGACTCGCAGCTTGATCGGGATACAAGCTATCCACTGCTCCCGGCGAAGCTTGGAGGCTTTAAGAACGAGGAAAATGCTCTGCCAAGCCCTGTGCTTCACCTTCCAATCGAGGGCAATGAGGAGAACTTCCCTGATTGTTCGCCAACTTCAACTCCCGAAACCTCAGTGGTGCAACTTGATCAAATGGTCAAATCGCCCTTAATATCTGTTTTAGATATCGCTGGTCGACAGTCTGAGGACCCTCCTTCATCCCCTCCTCAAATATCGCACCACGAAAATCGGAGCATAGAAGCGTCCGAAACCCAAAGAATTCGTGACGTTAAAAATCAGGAAATCGTTATGAGTGACGACCTGTCTTCCCCTCCAAGGAGTTCCCCGACACCAACTAGCGGTAACCCTAGTCATCGGCGTAGCATGTTCAGCTCTCGGAAAACAGCGGAATGGAAAGCGACAAGGACCAACAAGGTTATTAACCCAGAGCCTAAGGATATCACTTCACAGGGGGATTATCCATCAATCTTCCCAACTCAAGATGCTGATCTAGTTCCGTCAGAGGAAAGTGAGAATAAGGGACACTCCAACAGCTCGAATCCGAATAGTCCTGTCTCAAATATTGAAGTCGATAGGATTGATATTATTCCAGACTCATTCAGCAATGATCTTGAAAGACAGATAGCGTCTCAACTCGAACAAGACCTGGAGTTGTCAATGGATATGGAAGTGTCAAGCAAAGGGACGCCAGAACCGAACACTTCAATTGTGACGCGATCGATGAAGCGAAAAAGGGATGACAAGCCTTCACACGAGCGTGATCGCATCAAACGAGTCTCTCTAAATAGACGAAGTAAAGTTGTGGTTGATGAGTCAATCGGCTTCGGGAAAAAAATATCTCCCTCATCAGGAAAATACCACTTGCGGAAATGAGGTTGTACCGTCGAAGCGACCGAGTCGATCATCACGGAGAAAGACGAATTCAATTCTCGATTCTGCGAAAATTATCAAACCCTCGCCAGAGATTGGGAAACCGGCCCATTGTCCAAACCATCGTAAGTCCAAGAAACGAAGGTCTCTGCGCCTGAGCGGCCAGCCAGCATTACCAGCACTCTCGGTTGAGCAAAGTGACGAGCAAATGGCCCACCAAATGTCACTTGATCCGGAAATGGCAAAAATCACGGCAGCAGATGTAGAAATGAGCAATCAAACCGACCATCCTATTTCCAAAGAAGGGGATCTTGCAGGTTCAACGGAACAGGAAACTCGATCTGGCAAGCCTGAAACTTCCGGAGCTGGCATACTTGCTTCTCTACGTTCAGTTCTAGGATCGATCAGGACGGTAACATTTGGGAGACGCGTGCTTCGCGAGATTGAAGATGTGATGTTTGATATCAAAGTGGAAGCGCATGATGCTGAAAGGCGACATTATGAAAATGCTTAAAAGATTCGTGCGAAATATCCGCCGTGTTGATTGCATTCCCTTGATTCCCGCTTCTTCGCCTTTCTTTTGGGTGATGTAACGGTTCGTTTTCTATTCTTTCCTTTCTATTTTTTTTTATAAACGATGTGTGCATCATTTTCCGTTTTATTTCTACTCTTTCCTTTACCTCGATTTGTGCCTGAGGGAGAGAGATTATAGAATTGAGATAGCCCATTACGTTGCCGGTTGTTATTACATATTTCTACTGCACACAGAAACAATCTTAAATCTGCATCAAGGAAGGGAGGGTTATCAGCCATGACAGAGCACACCCTATCTCTATGTTATATTTTTGACTAGCTACGTAGTTAAACTCCACTGTTCATTATATTTGCTCACTCTGTTCTTGGATATCCACCTCCCTCTGTTTCTCAATAAATCAACCAATATTATACACAATGGTACCTAGCTAGTTGCCGGAAGATTTGGCATTTTAGAAGTAGTTCGCTGGAACATTTCTATTTGACTGAGGTTCGTTTCAACCTTAAGCAGTTTTGGTACAATGACTGGCGCGAGCTTGTGTTTCTGATCTACCGAGTTACTTATGCTGTCTGTTAAAGTTTTTGCATTGATTCCTCGGGAAGAGTGGGAGAGTTATGTCGAGTCGACCGCAAGATCGCAGTCGGGTCGAGGACTCCGCATCCCCGAGGTGAGTAATATGGATGCACTATCTTCATTAAGGCTTCAGATATATCCCAGAGCAACGCTAACTTGATATAGGGTATGGATATCATAGTAATTTATACCAACAAGGGTAGCCCAGAAATCACCGATCAACCCGAGAGAGATACAAAGAATATGATAAGAACTAAGGAAAAACGGTACGTCGGATTTCAACATCATCATTGATGACTGCACCAGGTCTTCCTAAACGATATTGACACTGATATTTATAGCCCTTGACACCCAATGCAGGAGGATATTGAATCGCTCCCTCTCTACCTGAATCCCGTCCTCGAGCCACTTGCGCTCTGCCTTTGCGCGAGGTATGTTTTGTGACTTTGACGCTGTTGACGAAATATTCGCACTTGAACCTCAGGCGGACAAATGTTTCAAACTTGCGTTATCTCCGCCGAAGGTGCCGATGTACGATTCAAACTACATGCAATCCATCAGTGATGGAGAGGGGCTTGGATGGAGTAGTGGTAAGTGCTGTTCATAGAATGCTTTCTCAAGTTTGAGACAAACCTCCCGCCCACAACCCCCCCCACCGCAAAAGGATATTACCACACCCCGGTGGATATTCAGGGCACTCTTTCTTGTATTATCTCTATTGATAACTGCCACTACAGGGTGGATCAATGCTTAACACTATGTATATAGTCTAGATGGATTCAGCATAATGTGGGAGTCTCAAGTGTTATGGTACTTACATGTCTAGTTCAAGTGTAAATGACTGCTTGATATTGTATGAGCAATTGTGGAGCAAGGCCTTTTTAAGGAGCTAGATTCAGAATGATATAGTGAAGTCTGTCCATCAAGAATGACTCAGTTATAGATAGAGAAATGTAACCAAAGAGTAGCTAAATATAAGAGTAGACTAGTGGGATGTAGACTATCTGTGTCTCAGACTGTATATACCCTTAAAGAAATGTGAAGAAGCTATCATTCTCTATTCCATTAGCAATCGATCAGATATCGTGCAGGAAGGTAGGTAGGTAGCTAGCTAGCTAGCATTCTCTATTTGTTGTAATGCACTCGTTTCTTAATTCCTTGTATATATCTTCATTTATCTTCGTTTGTTCTTTCCTTATCATGTTCTCGCTACCGTTATTTCTCTCTCTCTCTCTCTCTCTCTCTCTCTCTATATATATATATATATATATATATATATATGCTACTTCGCAATTCTCTTTCTTCTCTTGGCGATTAGCTACTATTCATCATACTACTATCTACTCAATACTATTACTATTATCTCCCTTCTACTATTTTCTACTATAACACTTTTCACATGTGGTTCCCAACTATGCTGCAGCTGGTGGTGC